CCCCAAAACCCCAAAACCCCAAAACCCCAAAACCCCGCCGTGCTATTTTTTCCAAATATTAGTAAAATTTAGGTAATATCTTATTGCCAATATCTTCAAATTATAATATAAATAAAGATAAAAATGCCAAAGTGGGGAAGAAAGAGACCTAGAAGACTTATCTTTGCAGTAGGTCTGTATACCGTAGGAGCTGGTCTATATGATATTTTCTATCCAGCAGTTACCTAAAACTTCAGAGATGCTTACAACCTTAGAGAAAGATATGGTGCTGAGAGTTGGGTTGTGGTTTCAGGTGCAACCAATGAGCTTGGACAGCAATTCGCTCATGAGTTTACTAAGCAAGGATTTAATTTAGTTCTTATAGATGAAAATTAGGAGAATCTAGAAAAGTTAAAGGGTCAGCTAGCTGAAAACAATCATATAGTGCAGCTTTAGACCATGTAGTTTGACCTTAAAAAGAGCTAAAACTGGAAAGATTATGATGAGCTTTGCAATAAGATTAAGGAGATTACTAAGGAAAAAGAATTATCTGTTCTTGTTAACAATGCTGAGGAATTCGATCCCTTTGGCCCGAAGATACATAAGGCAGATGATTAACTACTTCTTGGTACCCTCACTATTAATACTTTCCCAGTGGTCTTCTTGACTAGATTCCTAGGAACAGACATGAAGTCTAGGCAAAAGAAGAGTGCTATTATTAATCTGACATCTTATTACAGCGAGTATAATGTGTAAAATTCACCCATTTACTCCTCAACTAAAGCTTATTAAGATGTATTCTCTCAAATTTTAGGCTATGAGAACTAAGATCTCGATGTTTTGACTGTTAAAAACATGCCATACAAGACAGAGAGGCATCCTAACGGAGTTGATCCTAAGTAAATCGTAGAGGGAGTAATGAAAGATTTAGGTCATGAAAGAATCTCATATGGTCACTGGACTCATGCTGCGTTTAGATACTGGATTTTACTCAGACAATGCTAATTCTGGTTCAGTAGTTGTGGGCCGAGCAAAGCTAGTCAAACTAAGCAATGACTGAATGAGTTTTAAGTCATTGATCTCTAAATTTAGGTCCTTCCGATATATTTTTGTCTCTGGACTCTAAAACGAAGATCCTTATTTCTATTTAAATTTACCATTAAAATTTTACACATACACACTTGTGGGGTTTTGGGGTTTTGGGGTTTTGG